GTCTTTTACACTTAATTACACAATTAAACATTGAATGCAATAAACACAGACATGTACAGATGACATCCGCTTCCTGAAACGACTCCCATTTTGCACCGGAGAGTCAGAGTAAATAAATAATACTACAAATTTTGCTAACGCTTAAGAACGTTTTGATTACCCTGAGGTGTGTATGTGGGCTGATTTATATTTGAAAAATGTTTTTTTAAAAGCAAAAAATTGTTTGGGACAGTATAAACTCTTCTCAGCACTGTAAACATTCGGTCTACCTGCCAAGTTGAGGAAAAAGTTAAATCCTGAATATGCTCAGTTTTATTTGAAAATATGACTAAATATAATATTTTTAGTTTTTAAAATACTTCTCAGACAAACGAATATGTTGGCACATCATCCACCTGTAAGAAGGCTGATGAAGCCTTATTAGCATCTAGTGTTGTACTGTTTAGCTGTGTTAGCTTGTTAGCTCATTTGAGGGAGTTACCCATTTGACATGAAAACCTACAAATTTCTCGTTATTTTCCAATAATAAAATGTTTTTAAATTTACTACCCTGCATGCTGCTGATTGTTTGTGCAATACCAGAGCTGACACCTAAAAAGATAAACCTACAGCCTTACATTAATTTCAAGCTGGCTTTTTCCTTCCCCGCAGTCAACCGATAAACCATCAGTAACCCTTACAGATACTCGAATATCACCATGCACTAGTCACTAGTCACTATGCACATCCCTAGTCACATGTTGGGCTGGCTTCTAGTGTTAAGCTTGAGGTCAAGGCTGAATGAAGAAAGAGAAGCACAGGCTGTCTGACCTACACAGAGTGCTCAAACGCATGGATTAGCCAGGGCTGCTGTGTGGAATTAGCTCCTAGCCAAACACATGACTGTCTAGCTCTTAAACACAAAGCAAACAAACAAGTTGAGGAACAACACAGAATAGTAACTGCTGTGACTGTTCTCCTTTCCTCCACTGTCACTGTCAGCACTTTAGACTGTTCCTCTATTTCTCTTCAAAAGGGAAAGGAAAAGTGACAGATTTTTCAAAACTTCTGCAGAGTTAAATCATAAAGTTGTCATGCAGAGTGGCTTAATGTGCAAAACTTTCCAATGCAGAATTGTTCAAAATGGTGTTGACAGGACACCTGGAGTGGCTAATGCCTCTAAAAGCTCCCTGATAGAAGGCAACAAATATGCTACCAGATGTCTGAAACATTGGGTCCATTTACACCTTTCATTAATCTGTTTTCGGCAATCGGATCACATTCAGAATTCATTTGACCACGTGAAAAGCCAGGTGTAAACACCCCCATGAAGCACTGTGAGTGGATTGAGATCAGATAACTAAAATCACATTGGTCCCAAACCAAGCGCCTTCATGGACCCCAGGCTGAGACCATACCAAGTCTGTGAAACATGTAATCCAGAGAATATTCAGATACGATCCGGACAAAAAACATATGCTAATACAAGGTGTAAACAGGCTCATGGTGTTACAATTGTTTTGAGATTTCAATTTGGTCTAAAATGTATTTTTAAGCCATATTCACGGTGGCGAGGTACATTTAGGTTATTTTAAGGTAAAACAGTCTCCAAAGGAATCTTATTTTTTCAGATTTACTGCTATTTTATGCAAACTCAGAAGGCATGTGTAGGTTCACTGGTGCTTTTGCAAATAAAATATATATTTGTGTTGTATGGTAATCTCAGTAAGTTTCTCTACAATTAACCTTTTCACGTTAAACTATTCTAAATGTCTTTGTTTACAACTCTCACAACCACTGACAACCAATGAATTATGCTTTTGAAAAATCAGAGGAATTCTAATGAGACTGCCAAAAGCCCAACTTATCATGCTTGGACTCTAACCGTTCTAATGAATACTTTGTCTGTCAATAGTTATGTCTGTGGGGCCCAAAAGCAACCAGGGCAGCGTCCACTGCTTCTCTACTGAGCTCATTAAAATGACACCCCATTTGTTCAACGAATGGCATAAATTCCATGTGTTAACTCATACTCCAGGCCAAAGAGTGATGACTAGACTTTTCAAAAATAAGAAATAAAATGCCTTAACCATAAAGAAAATGGCACATTGTTCAATATGGTTTGTAGTTGGTAATTAAAGGTCCCACACTGTGCAAAACATGTTTATTCTTTTCACTGGAATTAAGCTGGATGTTGTGTGAACACTATAAAAGACCAAAATACATAAATCTACATGAAGTCCACATGAACAAACTAGGCCCTGATTAATATATTGTTTGGCTGATGTCTATTATGCCGTTTTGTCATCGCAGCTCTGGCGATGTGTTTATCACAGAACCTTATACCACGGTAACAATAAAAATACGATTTACTGCACAGCCCTTGTGCGTAATCAAGCCACTTTGAACTTGTGAATTACACTCAACCTCAACCTTTTAACTGATAAGCTCATTTGATAAGCTTCTTAAGTGGCTGGCAATTATCTCTGCATATAGGCTTAATTGGCTATTATTTCACTACAGCCATTTCAGTCTCTTGAGATATATGGCAGTGGCCCACTACCCCTAGGCCAGGGTTCTCTGCATGCCCTTCATGGTCATGAGAGGAATAAAACAACTTGTCCTCAAAACAGTTCTGACCATGTCACACATAATAAGCTACTGCAATACAGTTTAGTGGAAACAATGCTTGATTTTGGGTCTCACTATCGATTATGTTGGTAATTATTTTGACTACTCAGAGTTACAGGCTTATTGATCGCTGTTTTAAACAATATTGAGAGTGCAAAATAAAAATTTCTACATAAACAAGAGGGATGTGAAAGAAAAACTGATTTCAACATCTAATGATGTTCAACATCATTTCCTATGAACGTGATAGCCTGTTAGGCTATAAAAATCGCCTTCGTAGTCAGGTCGCTACAAAAAAACACCATCCCACACCACCAGCAGACCAGCAGAGCCGTAAAAACTAACTGCAGGCTACTCTTTATTAATATCTGTGGCACTTTTCCCCAGTAACCCATTTCAGCACGACAGGTTACATATTAACTAAACATGGTCAGAAACTTACAAGCTTACTTTGTTCTTGGCATGGTTTTGTAATTCTTGTTAAAAGTTTAATTTATCAAAGGTTTACAGCCTCTGAATCGCTTCTTGTTCTTGACACACTCCTCAGTCTCCATATCTGATAAAGGGCACATCTGAATACTCTTTTGAACGCTATAAGTCAAAACGGACTTGAGTGCTCTAGAATGTTCAGACTGCTGAGCGCAGCTTTATAATGACCTATGGAAATCGTGTTCATCATTCAAACTGTAAACTAATCACTGAGTTGATTAATCAAGAATTAAATTTTTGAGCTGCGTTTTTTTTTTTTATCACATGATCGATTATAAACAAGTAATTGTGACAGCCCTATACTCAATACAGTTCACTATGAAATCAACATACAGGACTTCTAGTGAGTGCTTATACATTGACAGGGGTCACAACCCCTGCTTCTGAGTAGATTATGCTAAATAGTATTTCAGACGCATTCCTAGAAAATACAATGCATTGTGTACCAAAGGCATTCAGTCCAGAAAAAAGACAAACAATTACACATCAAAAACAAGAGCTCTACTGTGCACTGCATCATTTCTGCAGTTCAGTGCACAGTGAGTAGGCTTGACTCTGTTCTCCCACGGATACTTTCAGTGAGTAAACTATGGAGCCATTCAACTTGACTTCTGAAAGTCTTTTCTCTCTGCTTCTCAGGGCACTCTGCTGTGAAAGGTTTCAAACACAAAGCAAGGACAAAAAGGCTAAGATTTCTCTAACAAGCCCTGAAACCCCCCTAAGAAACATCATCCTGATTCATGCTAGCTGGGGCAGAGCATTTATGTGGAAACACATGATACAGGTGAATACCATGTTCAAAAATGACTGATTACAGTGTTTGGCTTCCTGCTCAGTGGTAAGCATCCATTTGTGAGTCAATCAAAACAAAAACTGTTTTTCAATTGTTCGATCATGACGTAGGCTAATTTAAACAGTGATCACATACATGCATTTGTTATCTTGGCCACATTTGGTCTACACTGTTGTCCACAAGATGCTTTTGGCTGGTGGACTAATCTGAGCCCAGCAGTTATACTAAGTTGGTTAACTCCAGCAACACTGCTATGTGTGATCCACTCTGTGCAACACACACACAAACACACACACTACTATAGATGCCAAGATACCACTATTTGTTTGTTTTCTGGTACTGTTATTGTAACGTTGAGCACTGGCCGATAACAATCTGTTATTTCTTTTTTAATCCAATATTTCACTTCACATAAGATGACCATCTTCAAGCAGACTATCATGCTCAAACTACTCTCCACAAGAGGAAATACATGAAATACTAACAACATGATAGCAAACAATGTGAGTGTGTGCTATGTCAGCCATTTCTGGTTACAAGACTGGACTGGATTCATTCAACCATCCATTTCTTTCCCCTCCAGTATCTCATCCAGTATTTCCTGCAGATATCAGCCCCATACTGATACTTGGTATCAGATCAATTCTGCATCATTACCACGTCACTGTCACTAAAGTGCTAACAATGATCCACCACCTGAAAGACCAGAGAACTAACACAAATTATGCAGCAGTAAAAGAGCTATCGTCTCTAACTTTTCATCTATAAAGTGGACTAACAAGGTAGGTGTGTCTAATAGAGTGGCCAGTAAGTGTCCACAGTTCTTAAAAACTTCAGCAACACTGCGGTGTGATCCACTTGTACCAACACAACAAACACCCACCATAACGCTAACATATCGCAGTTAACTACAAAAGTGCACCTACATGGTAAGTGGATCTGATAAAACAGACAATATGTATTTAAGGTAGGTTCACCTAATATAGTGACCACTGAGTTTGTGTATGTATGAGTCTATATACATTCTAGCCTTAGTGAAGCTCCAACTCAAATTACAGCGCACATGGAGTCCAGCAATTCAGTGCAACACTGAGGTGCCTTCACTCACCTGTAATTCACACCAGGCCACTTCCACCCAAGTCTCAGTGTCTAGGCCTTTGTAAACTGTTTTGAAGGCTCCTCTACCAAGCTCGATGTCAAATTTGAGAAAGCGACCGCCAGGCGAGGTTGCCACTGCTTTCATCTCTGCCTCCTCCTCCTGTTCATGGTCCCGCTCCTTCCCCTTCAAAGCAGGCACTGACGAGGCACCCTTCTCAGGGTCCTGGGCACCACCTTGGGTGCCATCTTCGCCCAAGGCAGCCAAGGCACTGGCGGGTAGCTGCTGGTCTCCACCGCTAAACACAGAGTCCGAGGCACGACGCTCAAACTGGGGGGCACTGTGAGGGGCATCCGGAGCTTCCTCAAGCTCATCCTCCTCCTCACAGATCTCTACACTCTTGCGGAAGAAGCGCTTGTTCTCACGCCTCAGACGGGGTCCGCCAGCAGCTGGCGAAGATGGTGTGGAGAAAGATAAAGGCCTAGCTGGACCCTCTACTTCCTGGCCATCTTCTCTGCCTCCATCTCTCCCCCCAGCGCCTTCTCCTCGTCCGGCTCTCCTCTCCTCTGTCTGGCTAGAGGGGAAGTCGGAGGGTGTGCTGCGTGTCCTCTCTCTCTCACGGACCGCCCGGCTCCCCTGTGCCCTCTCCTCCTCCCTCTCTCCATCAGCTTTCTCTCCGGACGACTCCTCCGTGGCAGTGGGCTCTCCGGGGTCTGTCGCCATGGCGAATGACCTTTCCCACTCCCCCGCCGCCCCCTCCTGAGCTCTGGCTCTGTGTCAGTCCCCGTCTCTCTTTTGCAGTGGACACCCTCTCGTACAGACCCTTGTACAGATCTAGCACTGGCCTTCGCTCGGAGGGAAAGTGAAACTCCTTTCTTCTCACTCTTTTCTCTCTTCTTTTTCTTGCTTTTTTAGGCTCAAAATGACACAGGAGGACACTTACTAACTGTTCTGATGCCTAATGAGAAGTCAGCTCTCAGTCCCAACACTTCTTCTCTCCATCTTCCTTCCGGACAGTCAAAAGGCAAATCGGTAACAATTCCAAAACTTTAGTTTAATCCCAGTGATGAATTACAATCGGAGGCCTTTCACAGCAGGAACGTTGTGCTTCAAAGATTGAGGAGCATCTTCAGGTAAATCCTACAAAAAAAAGAGTATGTTAATTTAGCAGGTGGCATGAGAAGTACATAGTTATATACTGCCATAATTATAAAAACAATGAGGGAATAATTGTGTAAAGGGTTTTTCAGGTGGTGACAACTGCTTGGACACCATTCATTTTCAGTCAAGCAAAAGCAGCAGCTGGTGCTGTGACCAGATTTAATTGCGTGAAACCAAATGAAAAAAATCAACATGAAGGTGCAATGGAGTGTTTGCCTAGGAGTTGACCAATCAATGTACTCTATTTATTTAAGTAATAAAATTATAGTTTACTTAAAATAGAACAGCACATCATGCTAGAGGCCTTATGTGGAAAATTTCTTAACTGGCAGGAACATTCATGCCGGTTGTTTAAAAGCATCGCGAAAAAAAATAGCTTATCAGCTATGGCTATCTTAAATAAATGTCCAGTCCCAAATAATGGCAATGCAGAGCACGCACGCAGAGGTCACCTGTTATATCATAAATGTATTAAAAAGATTTATTTATTATGCTCTCACATATTTCTAATGTATTGACTTAAAACATCACAGCAGTCAGACAGATGCTAACTGTGCTTAGCCACGTTGTCACTTTGGTTGCTGCATGTGAGAGGGTTTATTGTGCGGCGTCTGAAAGTGCTGCTGAATTCGGTCACTTCATAAGGCACAGACAGGGGCAGGCGAGCAGTGAGTGGTTTGTCCCCTCCTGTCTGAATTGCCCTTAATTGTTGTGACAGTGAAAAAGAGAGCAAACTCTTAAATCAAGCACATGTCCCTACAGGTTTACATTCTCAAAGCAGCACAAAACCAAAAACAGTGCTAACCGAAAAATCCCTGCCTTTCATTGTCATACGTGTCCTCTGTCAGATGTAATTAGCTATGTAGAAACTGACAATCCCCAAAAGTAAGAAGGATAACATAAGGTAAGACAAGCTGATTTGTTTTCTATTTTGAATATAGCCCACTACTTTACTCAAAGGTAGGAAAAAAGTAGAAAATGGAGCAAATCGCAAGGAAGTTGTGTCCTTACAAGAGTTCAATCCATTTTAACAATTAGTTTTGGGTATGTAAGGCAGTTCCACTTCATCCACACAACAAAACCAGCTCAACGCTAATGTCACAGTAAATCATCTGCTTTTCAGTGCAGTCTAAGCACTTGACATGAAGCACAATCATTCCAGTCTCAACGACAGTTTTAGCTAGGGGTGGGCGATGTGGCAAAAATATATCATGATACTTCTAGACATTCTCACAACACACAATATCCACCACGATAATACGTTTTCGGATGACTGAACAAAGAACAGAACACAGAAGTAGCACCACATGTAAACAATTTTATCAATAACTGTACAATGATTTTTATTCAGCGTTTCACAAACTGTGCTGCACTAAATCCAAAGAACAGGAATTATGTCCCACTTGTAACGAAACATGCAGTTGGTCAGTGTTCTTTATAGTACTGACGATATCTATGATATGCTCAGAAAAGCATACAGTGACATGATTTATAAAAAAATGAAAAAACATCATCATATTGCCCACCCTTAAGTTGTAACTATAACGGAAAGGCAAGCTAAAGAACATACAAAGTCCATTTCTATCCACTATAAACACTTGGTACAAAAAATGCTAGTCTACTCCATTAGGATGCAGTTCTGTGAGTGAAGAGGTCAGGCCTTAGAGCACCTGCAGCAGACAGCATCCCACTTCTCTCTGCAGTGCCTCTGATGCTGTGCCTTCACTCCCCAGCCTCTCAGCAGAAGAAATCAGTGCTCACAGGCTGGCACCACTGCCTGCATAAATATGTCAACAATGGCACTCGGGTTAAACTTGTGCGGGTGAATAAATTCAGTAAGCAGATTTATTCATCTAAATTCAAGATCGCAGACAAGTAGGGAGAGGGTTCGCACAGGCTGTTCCAAAAATGCCCATACATGGCCGAGTACTCAACAAGGGCATGCTGATTCAGGAGGAAAACAGCCTAACTAGCCTAATCCACTAATTAAGCTGTTTGAAAGTGTAATCTTTGTTATGGCCTGAGATCTCTCAACCAAGCACTAAGAAGGCCCACATCAGATCAGGAGCTCAGGATTTGAAATATCTCATGAAACAGCAGGTTGTATCCATTAGTTGATACAAAGTTAGAGAATACCAGATTCTTACCCATTAAAAATGAATGATGCAGTAAGGGCCCTTAAGATGTGAATAATTCATTAGCACAAGGGTTGCAAAAGTGAACTTGAGTGAAAGCCATAGATCATCACCCAGGGAAGACATGCAATAAATAAGCATATAAATGGTGGTCAGCAATATTATAATGCTACTTAGTCATGATGGGCCATGCCTACATACAGAAGCTTCCTTATTTACATTTACAGTAAGTGCATTCCTGTTACTTACACTGGTTGATTCACTTAGAGCCTCTGTGGTTTGGATACTATCAAACAATTCAACTTTCCGACCTAAAATGTAAACAATACATTTTTCCTGTATGTCGTCTGACTGTCTGACTTTTTCTCTACGTCTGAGTACTCCAATGTCAGTCGCTCTGTCTGAGCCTCTCTCCCCTTTGGTGACATCTTTATCTTCGGCGCTCCACTGTCGCTGTCCATCTGTCTGAAGTGGTCGCGTCTCCCTGCTCCCCGCTGACAACACATTTCAGTCTGTCCCAAATTTTCAGTCTGGTCGCCAAATACTATTTATGGCAGAGAATGCTGCTCATTTACCCTGTGTTGAACTGCTGAACTATACTGAATAAGGGTACTGACAACATTTATAGTGGTAGAGAGTAAATACTACTATGTGACGCTTTGAGGTCTTTTCCTGATTGTCCTGGTCTGAATGTCACACATCAGTACTGCCTAGGTGGTTATACATAAAATAATTAAAAATGAAAATAACATCTGTTCACATAATGATACTTACTACAGTGCCGTCCACAAAAATTGGCACCCCCTTTAAACATGAGCAAAATGGGCTGTAAGGAGCATCCTTTATCACTCATCCTTTTGATATTTCATTCAAAAATATTAATAAAAATCAAAAAAGTACAATGACTGAAAAAAAAAACTAAATCTTATAAATATTATAAAATATTAAAATCTTCTCAATTCTTTGTGTGCCACAATTGTTGGCACCCCTGCAAAGTCTTACTGGTGAAATCTAACTGAAGTATATTCCCATTCATGTTTTGTGTATTAAAGTTTACCTGAGTAATTAGGAACACTTCATGACTTCCTGTTTCACTGGGGTATAAATGTGAAGTGACATGCCAAATTCCCTTATGCCTGGCCCACACTACAGGATAACTGTGCCAATTTTGAGGCCAATTTGCTCCTCCCACCAATTGCAAAAGGTCTCCTGATACCAAGGTGATCTTAAACAATGATCTTCCCAGATTATCCCGTGGTGTGGAGTGTCTATTATCCAATCGTTATTCCTCTGATCTACTCTCAGTCCAGTCGGGGCCGTCTAGACTGTGAATCATACATATAAACGCGTTCAATATTTACGACTCAGTATCCTGTAGTGTGGAGTGGACGCTGATTCTCTGATGTGAAAGCCGGTTCCTGAAATACCATCAACCAATGAGGGGCAAGTCAGTGCGTACGGAAGATGTAGTAAGCATGGCGGCTAAACCGAGAACTAGTCATCTTGTGTGTGGGTATATATGTATTTATGTATTCACCTCAAGCTCGCATTGCAGTATGTATGAGCCCTGTTGGCCTCTTCTTTTCAGCCATGGCTTAAGAGTGACACCACCTGCACAGCAATAGCTTCACTGTAATCCGCTGTGTTTGTTTAGATCAAAAGTCACGTTAGTTTGCGAGAAACTCCCATGAGGTTTTGAGAATTGGAACCATTGGTCGGTACTCTTGTTCACGTGCATAATCTGAAAGTGTGTGGAGTTTCATTCAGGGCGATTGTGTATTGTGGGGACTTTGATGACTAACAACAATCAAGGACAGAAAAATCAGTGAAAAACGTAATTATGTGTGGGGTCTTCCAAGTTTTCAGCATTGGTTAGGCTTTTTAAAATCCTAACAAACAGTGAGAAGGATTGAGTGGCCAAAGAATCTCCACATCTGAGTAAATAACAGACATTAGTTAAGTCTTGGGGTCAGAACATCTCCCAAACTACAATCAGATGCCACCAACATAACCACAAGTTGCGAGGGTTGCCAGAAAAAAGCCCCTGCTGTCAAGCACCAATAAACTCAGACACCTACAGTTTGTCAGACATTAATGGTCAGATGAGACCAAAACAGAGCTTTTTCGCAACAAACACCAGAGGTGGGTTTGGCATAGACACAAAGATAGCCATGCAGAAAAGTACCTCATCCCCACTGTAAAGTATGGTGGTGGATCTGTGATCTGTGTTGTGGAGCTGTTTGTCTTCCTAAGGCCCTGGACAACTTGCTCAAATACATGGTATCATGAACCCCAGTACCAGCAGATATTAAATGAAAGCCTGACTGCCTCAGCCAGGAAGCTTAAACGGCCATGGTTGAATCCCCCGGCAAGATAATGATCAAAGCACACCTGAAAATCAACATAACAACTGTTCACTGACCACAGATTCAAGGTTTTCCCATGGTCTTCCCAGTCTCCTGACCGCCCCATAGAAGACCTGTGGGATGAGTTGGAGAGCCTGGATAGACTCTGTATGGAGGAATGGTCTCTGAACCCTTTCCATGTGTTATCCAATCTCACTAAGCATTACAGGAGAAGACTCAATACTGTTGTCTTTGCAAAGGGAGGCTGCACATGGTATTAAACAAAGGGGTGCCACGAATTGCAGCACACTTATATTTAAGAAGAATATTTATTTCATGAAAAGATTTAGGTTTTTCTTTCAATCATTGTACTTCAAATAAAGATTAGATTTTTGTTATTATATTGAGTAAAACATTAAAAGGATGAGCCATATAGAATGTTTATACAGCATATTTTGCTTATGTTTACCAAGTTATGTTTGCCAATATTTGTGGAGGG